GTTGGCCTTCTGGGCTGCGATCGCACACTGCCGGCTCATGTTGAGCTTCTCATCAATCAGCACCCCCAGGTCCTTCTCCTCAGAGCTGCTCTCCAGCCGTTCCCCACCCAGCCTGGAGTTGTGCTTGGGATTGCCCCGACCCAGCTGTAGGACCTGCACTTGGCCTTGTTGAACGTCATGAGGTTGGCACGGGCCCACCTCTCCAGCCTGTCCAGGTCCCTCTGGATGCCATCCCTCCCCTCCAGCGTGTCTACCTCACCACACAGCTTGGTGTCGTCGGCAAACTGGCTGAGGGTGCACTCCATCCCACTGTCCACGTCACCAAAGATGTCGAACAGCCCCAGTCCCAGTACTGACCCCTGAGGAACGCCACTGGTCACTGCTCTCCACTTGGACATCGAGCCGTTGACCACAACTCTTTGTGTGCGACCATCCAGCCAGTTCTTTATCTACCAAGTGGTCCATCTGTCAAATCCATGTCTCTCCAATTTAGAGACCAGGATATCGTGTGGGATGGCGTCAAACGCTTTGCACAAGTCCAGGTAGATGACATCAGCTGCTCTTCCCTTGTCCAATACCAAACACCCAGCCATTGCTCCCACACCAAAGAGGCCAGCACGGAAAGCGGTGCCTTGTCCTCACCTCGCCCTTGGCACCGCTTTCATCACCCCACAAACCTTGGGGCTCAGCACCTTCCTGCCTACTTCAGCCTCAAAACCACCTTTTCTCACTCTCCCCTGGGCCGGGCTCAAAAATACCCAAGGTCCAGTGATTTCATAGCCCCACAAAACGTATTTCTCCCCTTCCTCTAGAGCCGGCTTCAAAAAACTGCAAGCGCGTAGCCATCGCAGCCCCAAAAACGGTGCTAGTAGAGAATGACGTTGCTTGTCCTCACGGTCCCCCTCCACGCCCCAGCCCCGCTCCGGCCGGTCCGTGGTGCCCTGAAGCCATCGCTTGCCCTAGCAGCGCCCAGAACCTCCCTCACCTTTGGGCTTCCCGATCATCCTTGGGCATGTAGTTTGCCAGGCAGTCCAGGATGAAGATCTGGCCCCACTCGGTGCACTCGTTCAAGGCGGTGAGCAGCTTGTTGATGGACTGGGGGTTGAGGTCCAGGAGGTTACTGCTCGGGTGAGACTCCGCTATTTCCGAGAGAGCTGCTACTGCATTGGCCACTACCTGCCAGAGGGGACAGGACACGCGTTAGGTGACAGCAAGAGTTAGGTGACACGAAATGTGGTTCAGCAGCCTGAGGGAAAGTTGGTGCAAGTGGATGAGCTGCATCCTCCATATCTGCACCTCGCATCCCAGCGACATCTGGACACCAGCTTCTCCTCCCCACCAGCTGATCCTCAGGAGATGAGCAATCACCGCCACCACGGTCCCACCACCCACGCCACAGCTCCAACGGTTCGCACATGTTCAGTGGGAGTCATCCTTGGCCCCGTGCCCAGCAGAGAGGAACCCGCTCTCGCTCTTCCTTCTCAGGGCAGCTCTGAGGAACCCCATCACTTTCTGCGGCAGCTCCCGGGCTCGCCGCTACGCCTGCGGCAAGATCTGAAGAGCAGCAAACCCTGGGGAAAGCAGGCTTTAAAGTTTCTAACGGTGGCCAAAGCCCAGCTGCTAGGAAACCCTCACCAGAGGCAAAAGCCACCAGTTAGGTGGCACCGGAGCCAAGCATCAGCTCCCCTCTGCCACCATCCCCTGCCCTGAGCTGGCCGGAGCAGCCTCCTCCACGCTGGGAGCAGACTTAATAACGCACTGCCAAGGAATTGCAGAAACCTTCCGTCCAGGAGACGGGGTTACAGGACAAGGAACCCAGCCCGCAACCCTCAGAAGCGGCTGTCCCCAAAAGCGGTCGGTTAAGCACCAAAAAGAGAGTGAAGAGGAGCACGGGAGGAAAGGAGTCAGCACGTGAAGATGAAGGGAGAGCATTTACCGCCGTTCGGATGAGGAGAAGAGAGGATGGAGAAGGCAAAAAAAATAATCACCATGGGGTTAGAGTCCGAGATGAGGTCTTTAAGGGTGTCCAGGAAGCCCTGGTCCTCCACCAGCTGGGCATTGATGTCATGGAGCTTCGCCACGCAGACGGCCGCCGTCTTGCGCACGTAAGGGTCCTCGTCCTTCAGGCACTTCCGCAGGGGCTCACAGAGATACTCCGTTATCTTGTCCACACGGATGCAGCCCATGGTCCGCACAGCCAGAGCCCGGATCAGAGGGTTTGGGTCCTCGCAGTCCTGCAGGGATGAAAGGGGGAGGTTAGACTTCCAGGGCCTCTTCTCCTTGAATCGCAGACATGAGCGGTGGCTTAGGGACCTTCATTCGTGTTTGGGTACCTGAAGTCTAAAGGTTTTAACACTCGGCTCGCAACAACAAGTCAGAGAGAGCTTTGATTTCTTGCTCTGCAATCCGGCACCCACAGAGTTTTAACACCATCAATCCAAAAACACCTCCAGGAATCTGATGTCTTCATCACTTACACCAAGCAGCTGAAGTCAGCTGCCACCCCGCAAAACGGCCACCTGACCTGGGAAACGCATCTACCACGTTTACCGCGTGGTTCTTTTTTCCTCCCTAAAAAAGCCAGAACTCCCTCTAATGCCCACCAAAGCCATTTCACAAAGCGATTTGGCAACATCTTGGCTCCTAACAAACACGCTCTTCAGTTCCCAACTCCAACTCAAAGATCACGAGGGCTTTCTCAGCTGCGGAGACTTCGGAGCGTAAGCTCCCGTGACGGTCGCGCGACCACGGGAGCTGCCCACGACCGAAGCTGCCACCGACAGAGCGAGTGGCACAGTACAGCTGCCAAGAAAATGTTTTTCTTCTGCATTACCGGACAAATTTGCTCGGTTATCTAGAGCTAGGGGAGCCTTTGCTCCTGAAGGAAGAGGCTTTGGAAACCTGCCCGAGCTCCCTTCTTCGGAGCGGGGTACGCAGCAGCTTAGTGCGACAGCCTCGCAGGAAAGCAGGGATGCACGCGGGGGGCCGAACCGCCCCGCTGCAGCGTGCGGCTCTCGGGCAGGCGAGCCCTCTCCTCTCACCTTCACAAAAGTGTTGACTGCCATGATGGCCATGTCCGGCTGGCTCTTGGCGTAGTTCATCAGGTAGAGGTAGACCAGCTTCTTCAGCTCCAGGTTGTCCGTCTGCATGCAGTTCACCACGTCTGGGAAGAGAGCGCTGAAACACAAAGCGCCGTCGGTGAATGGTCCAATTTTGTTCAATATATTCATTAATGACCTGGATGAGGGGACAGAGTGTATCCTCAGCAAGTTCGCTGATGATACCAAACTGGGAGGGGTGGCTGACTCTCCAGAGGGCCGTGCTGCCATCCAGCGGGACCTGGCCAGGCTGGAGAGCTGGGCAGAGAGGAACCTCATGAGGTTCAACAAAAGCAAGTGCAAGGTCCTGCACCTGGGGAGGAAGAATGTTAAGCACCAGTATAGGTTAGGGGTGGACCTGCTGGGAAGTAGCTCTGAGGAGAAGGATCTGGGGGTCCTAATTGACAGTAAATTGTCCATGAGCCAGCAGTGTGCCCTTGTTGCCAAAAAGGCCAATGGAATCCTGGGCTGCATAGGGAAGAGTGTGGCCAGTAGGTCAAGGGAGGTCATTCTCCCCCTCTACTCAGCACTGGTGAGGCCACAACTG